GGCTTGTCCGAAATATTCGTCTTGAATAAATAAATAAATAAATATATATATATATATATATGATAATTATATATATGGCCTTATATATATATATATATATATATATATATATATATATATACATATATACAAAAAAATGAAACGATTGCTTATGTTGACATAATAAAGACATAACATTTATTCACAGGCTTGTCCGAAATATTCGACTTGAATAAATCGTATGTCTCTATTATGTCAACGCCTGCAACCGTTTCATTTTTGTATATGCAGACACCTTTACAGTCTAGGCCATTAAGGGTTTGTCAGGAATTCAAATCCGATTGAAGCGCCTTTTACACTCATGCGCATGCGTATTAGACAGCACTAGTCCTCGGTGCATGGGAAATAACAGAGATCAATATTATACGACCTCTTTTTATCAGCAATCGACAGGACGGGATCTCCGAAGAAAAGATATTTATAGGTGTATATATATATCATGTCCTTATTTAAACACTGTATATGATGATTTATATTATATTATATATATATATATATCTTTGTAGTATATATATAATATATATATGTATATATATATATATATATATATCCTTATTTATATAATATAAATATATATATAATATAACATCCTTATTTTGTATATCAACAGGTAAGTTATCCCACACCCGAAAGCAAATAAAAGTGGAGTGAAAAAAAAATATATTTGTTCTTGCACGATTATGATATGAATAAATTTCAGTTGATCAATATTCCTGACACGAGGCTGTGGTAAAATGGATTGCTCTATGGATCACCATGTGAAGACACTTCATAATAAACAACAACAACAACGATATTGAAAGCACAGTATGATAAAATTAGTTCAGGCTGTAAAGACGATTCTTAAGGTTAGTTGAGAATTGGTTTTACCTAAAAACACCCTTATTTTGTATATCAGCAGATAAGTTATCCCACACCCAAGGAAAGCAAATAAAAGTAAAGTGAAAAAAAAACCCATTTGCTCTTGCACGATTATGAATACATTTCAGTTGATCAAGATTCCTGACTCGAGGCTGTGGTAAAATGGATTGCTGTATATGGATCACCATGTGAAGACATTTTATAACAAACATGATGTAAATATAAAGTAATTGATTGAATAAATAAGGTAAATTAAGTTTAACTAATCTATCAGAATAAGACATAAGTTGGGTCATTAAGCCAATTAAAACGGAAACAGGCTCGAGTAAAGCATCCCTGAATTGACTCGAGTTTGTCAATGTGACCTTGAAACGGTCACCACACAGGAATACCGTACTCAAGCATGGGTTTTAATTTCTTCATGAGAACAAGGGTATTCGGGGACTTAACTGTACTTCTAATAAAACCATTAATTTGTTTACATTTTGAAGTAGTATGTTCAATTTGCTAATTCCATTTTAAATCAGAAGTAATTGTCAGTCCCAAGTATTTAAAAATATTTGCAGACTCCAATATTTCTTCTTCAATTTTATATGCATTATCAGTGGCTTTCTTACTTTTAGTTAAGTGAATAACTTTGCACTTTTTTCGATTCAACGCCATATTGGTTTTATAAGAAATCTCTTTGTAAAATAATAGAATCTTCATTATTGTGAATGTACGATAAAGGACAGTACATTATTGTGAATGTACGATAAAGGACAGTGTCATCTGCGTATTGCGGAAGAGCTGAGTCAATGGGAAAAGCAAGGTTCCCTGTGGAACCCCAGATGTTATGTTTCCCCAGTCTGACAAAACCCCCGAAAATGAAACTCTCTGATATCTCTAAGAAAAGATTTTATCCAAGCAAGTAAAGAGGAATGAAAACCAATATTTTTAATTTTAAAAATAAGTTTAGAGTGTGAAATTTTGTTGAAAGCTTTCGACCAATATAGTATCAATGCAATAAGCGAAATTTAAACTGACCATTTTAGAAGATGTTACACTTAAACTTCTCGAAGAGAGACACAAACTATGGAAACATAGGGCATATTTATTGCAAGAAGATCCTGGGACAGAGAGACGCATTAAGTTTAAAGATTTAACTAAGAAAAATTGTGAGGATGCTGATGCGATGTGGGTTGACACATAAATCAACACACACACATTATCACATTATTTGCATATTCAATTTATTGGATAATATATATATATATATATATATATATAGGACAAATGTTTAAATTCAAATTAATTAAATAATTTTATTAATTGCATCATGATATAAAACAAAATAATCATAAGACAAAAAAAAATAAAAA